AAGTTAATGCCATGTAGTAGCTTGTGAAATAAGCTAACTATGTAGTGCATACATAGATAATTTGCCTTACAAGTTAAGACATGTGCCTAACAAAATCAACATATGTTAGAGGTCCTATAGAATATTGCCACATAGCTTTTAATTAAAGAGTATATATGGAAGCAAGAATTAAGCCTTCTTCACTCTTATCAACTCTTTTCTGGTCTTTAGTCTTATTTCAAGACTTTTTTGTTTTTTTTGTTTTTGGCAATAGCTATTCTAATTGAATATTATATCACCTTTTGAGTCACTTTCTAGTTCTCTTCAGTGATACAAGAGTGTGTTGACAATTTTCTTTCTTTGAGATTCATATCCTTAACATAAGCTCATCATGACTTATTAATAGCCAAATATTTTGAATACACAAGACTTTGAAATTAATATCAAGAAATTTTTGGTGTCTTCAAATGTATAAAAAAAATTAAAGTCTTTATACAATCATGTGATATTTGTTTAAGATCAATAACTTCTTGTCATTGACTTTATGGACTTTTTCAGCCATTACTTATTTTGGAACAACTATAGTGTTTTGCTTCTTTGGATTTTATCATGGATCTTTGAGTCTTAGGTTTGTATGATCCTATATTTGTGATAGTAGGTTATTTTATCATGATGGCATATTTTATATCATGTATAAAATCTATTAGAAGTCAAAAAAATAACTAATTTTTTTCTTGACAACATCTATTGCTATTATAGATTATATAAAGATATTATATTAGATATTGAGACTCAATTTATATCAAGATTCTAGAGAATTCTTTTCAAGATTTTAAAGATGGATATAAAGTTCTCTTTGGCTTTTTATCTTCAAATTGATGGGCAAATAAAACAAGTGAATTAATTTTTGGAGTAATATTTGAAGTATACCATCAACTATGATTAAGATGATTAGACAACTATTTTGCCATTAAAAAAGTTTGCATCTAATAAGTTGGTACATTCTTCTACCAAACATATATATATATATATATATATATATATATATATATTTTCAATTATAATTATTATCTTTAACTTAATATTTTTGGCTTTTCAAAAGCTGATAATTTTTTGGCAAATTATTTGTTAGAGGTACATGCAACAATAAAGGTGTAGTTAAAAGAAGCTCAAGAACGACAAAAGATCAATATAGTTGCTTATTATGAAAAACAACTATAATTTAATATAGGTGATAAGATATATTTATTTTGTTGTAATATCAAGATTATTTATTTTTATAATAAGTTAGATTATCATAGACTTAAATCTTTTTTTGATTTATGAAAGTCAATCTTATTACTTATTAATTACATCTATAGGAATCAATAAAGATTTATCTTGTATTCTACATATCTCTTTTTGAGCCACATAAAATAAAAAAAATATCTTGAGAAGAAGACAAATCCCACCTCCTTTTATAGAAGTAAATAATAATCAAAATTTTGAGAATAAAGAAGTATTAAATTCAAGATGATATAAAATATGTTGAAATATCTTGTTCATCAGCATGAATATGATATTAGTAAATATATATGAGAGCCACCAAAGAATCTTACAAATATAGCAAAGATGATTGAAGCTTTTCATTGATTACATCTATGAAAATCAAGATGAAGGATTGCAAGATCCATGAAAGATGATGACTACTCTTTATAGAATTCATCTTTAGAAGAGGAAGTAATGTCACAAACATATACATTTATTCCAATAGTTACTTATATAATTAAGTAGAAATAGGTAAAAATATATTAACTTTATAATATCTTTTAGAAAAGCTTTCTAGAAGCTTTATAGAGACAATTTTGACTTTACATGTGTTTATAATTGATTAGTAGGTTAAAAATTTGGTCAACATATTAACCATGTACCACACATATTAATAGCTTGTAAAACAAGTTAACTACGTAGTGCACATATAGATAACTTACCTTGCAAGTTAAGACATGTATGTAGCAAAGTCAACACATGTTAAAGGCTCCAGAGAAGATTGTCATATTGCTTCTAATAGAGGGTATATATAATGGTAAGAGTAAAGTCTTCTTCACTCTTGTCAATGACTTTTTAGTCTTTAGTCTTATTTCAAAAAACTTTCTAGTCTTTATGTCTTTGGCAATAGCCATTTTAGTTTAATATTATATCATCTTTGACTGATTTTACAATTCTTTTGAGTGATTTTACAATTCTTTTGAATGATACTAGAATATATTGAGGATTTCTTTTTTTGAGATTAATATCCTTAACAACTAATAGATTTTATGTTTTTATTTTATAAACTTTTTTAAAAAACCTTTTTTATGTTTCCAAATCTTATTACATTTTATAACATATGTATAAGTAATCCAATTATATCTTTGTAAGAATCTTGAAAATTCATTTTTAAACCTATTTTCTTCTCATGTCATTGATTGATTGATGCACTCTACAAGTTTCAAATTACCTAAAAATCCAAGAAACTTTACTAAACTTTTCTTTATTTTAAACAAAATAACAAAGGCGAATAATAAAACAATTGTAAAACCCCTGTGAATTATGAGATACAATAAGTAAGACCACATGTACAATGATTGGAAGATGCACATAGTTCAAATTCACATTCAAGTCTATGTGTGTGTCTATGAGTGTGTGTGCTTTTATAGTTGGTGACGTCTTCGTTATAACCGCAACAAGTTTCATGTCAAGTGAATGTTCAGCATAGGTTTCTAGATTTCTGTGTTGTTTTTGCCTCACCGCAAGACTATGGGTCTGCGATCAACCTAGTTCGCTCAAGAAGGCAAATCTGTCAGTGGTCACCATTACCGCTACATCCTGTCAAAACCAGCCAACTTGTTAGAATGAGACATGGATGCCTATACACTCGTAGAGTGTTCAGATCGCACCGCAGAATATTGCCCGGAACTATTGGAATGAGAGCAGAAGTGAGTTCACAGACCGCAGTAACCCCAAGTCTGGAGTCAACATTCTGGGAGCTTTTATCGGCAGCTGCGTTTGCGTGAAACATGGTCTGCTGCAATGCCTTAAGTATTGTCTACATGCCGGTCCAATCCACCTCGACACCGCACCGAAGGATGGAGTTCAATAGGGAGATGCCGATCCCCCGAGAGAAAGTGTTCCTCCGCACATTTGTTTCTTGTCACAGAATTTCTGTAGACCCGTGCTCTATCTACATTCCTTGGAGGGTAGACTTGAAACACACCAGACTGCACGCGGATAGGTGACAACGCCTGAATCCAGCAAACCAGTGCCGACGATGAATCTGAGTAGTGATATGTTGGTGGAATGCTAGTTTGGTTTTTGCCACAGCACTGGTCCTTGACTACATGCACATTGTCAATTTCCTCAGATTCCTCCATACGTTTCCAGCTGATCAGAGAATTGCCGTGGATTCCACCACCTTGTGAACACGAAGGCGGCGTCGCGGAAGAACCACCCACCCAACCAATCAATCTGTTCACCAGGGCAAGGTACATTTTACCCTCGTTTATACACTCGCTCCTCCTCCAACAATGTCCACATATGCTTGTTTACGGAGTACTGTTGCAAACGAAAAAGCTTTCGTGACAAACGCTCTCCGGGGCGAAAAATTCCAGTCGACATGTGGGCACTCCAAGAAAACACTCGAATATCCAAGCCGAGCGAACATTCGAGGAGGATTGTCAAAGCTGCAGATTGCTACCTTTGGAATCATCCGGTTTTGGAATGCTTCCAGTGGATTGTTGGTGGATTGTTTCGCCGCGATTGTGGATATCGTTTCCACCTGAAATCTGAGCACATCCTAGCGGAGGATTGTATGTTTGTGGGAGTCTGGGGGAAAGAAGTTGTGAGCATTGGTGGATAGCTTGGATCGTTGTTAGCCTGGAATTCAGCGATTCCGCAGTTTGGTTACGTGGGTGCCGATCAGGTTCATTGCTCAGCGGAGCCTTGGCAGCGCAACCGAGGAGGATCATGGAGTCTACGCCCATTTAAGTCAGCTCTGATTAGGGTTTCGTGAGTTAATTCCTTGTTTAGTGTGTTGTTAACATCAAGAACTTGCCTTACTCTGCAGATTGGTGTAAAGAGCTTTTGTGATCAAGGGTTGAGAGGATGAATTTTTATCTCAAAAAATATACAATATTCATGTATGTATGTATGTATGTATGTTACATACAGAATGGATTACTTCATTATGAAGGGATATACAAAGCATATCCTTTTTAGTAACTTGGTGCAAGTTCGCAATGTTGTATATTGTGTTTGATTTATTATGCTAAAATTGTTGTTGTTGATGCACATTGTTTAACATGTTTAACACACATTTAGTATCCAATTTGATACTAATGAGCAACTCAATTGTTTTAATTTTACTACATACTAAACATGTCGGGGGGTTAATTATAGAAACAAGTTTGCGAAAACATTCAGTCTATTCTTCACCACGTAATTATTCTGCAACTCTTGGTGAATTCACTAGACAATAACAGTATGCTGTATGAGTTTTAATAATACAAATTGGATATTTAATGAACATTTCGATAGGCGCCTTGAATGTAAGCTTGCACTCTATCGTTTTTATTTCATCTGTCAGTCATAAGTCGGGTAGCTGGGTCAGATTTTGACTAGCACCCACATGTTGGGTCCCTCAAATATTGGAAGGTGGGTTTCAGGGCCAAGGGTTTTACAGGAAAGAAAGAAAGAAAAAAGAAAAAACACACATTAAATCATTTATAAGCAATTGGACAGGGTTGATAGTTCAAGATTTATTTAAGTACTCTGTTGCATAGGGCAATTTAAATTTGATGTTCCAGGTACCAACAAATGGGAACACGAATCTTGTAACTTGTCAAGAATCACAGTCGGACAATGACTATCGTAAGCACATGATTTTACACTTCAGTATCCATATCAACACTAACTTCATATTAAATTGGACACCGCTGTGTTTTGTCCTGCAAAACGTGCTATGCAGAATTAACGTCAATACATTGACTAACTAGTAGGCCATATTATCCAAGTTGAAAACCAAGCACCAAAATTTCATCAATTACATGATACGAACCATTCAAGCCATTGGTCCGTTGTAAGTTTTGCCTACAAGGAATTTGGTTCGATTGTCTACTATGAGAGAATAGGATGGGAATGTTGCATTCGTGCTCCGTAGAATTACAGGATTCATCGAGTATGGCAAAAGTGGTTGTGAGCACTGCCCCACAGCTATTTACAGTAACCCAGAACCCAGAATTTAAGTCTCTTGCACAAGTACGGAACACGTTAGGTTCAAGCCTAGACTGCTTTTCCTTCATCTGCCAAACGAATGCATCATTCACAACAGAACAGTCCAAAGGAAGAGGAACACATCTGTAATTAAATCTAAACTTTGCAGCAAATGAGTAGACAACTTAAAAGGCCTATCCATAGCTTTTGGTGAGGAGAAGAAAAATGTACAGTGACCTGAATACATAATGTTGCAATATTTTCCAGGCTTCGTCACATAGAACTAAGTAGCCTCTGAATCTTGCCCCGTCGCTTGTCTCGCTCTTCTAAACCCTCCGTATCTCCTATATTGTCGTGGTATTCCTGTCCCATCCAAAGTTCAAGACATAATGTGATTTGAAGGCATGAAAGGACTAGAGGGTACGCGTCCATTGAAGGAAGATTTGAAGTACTCCCACAGAACTTGCATTTTAGTTATTATACCAAATACTACAAACTGTGAGCACATTGTTGTGTTCCTCACCTGTAATACAACTTTAATATCCTCCCTTGAAAGGCGACGCTGCTTCAATAATAGTCCTATTCGTTCCCTTATGCCTACGTTCCTGAACACAAGGTAAAAGGGCATAACGTATAAGAAGCTAAATATTAATGAAACGTTAATCAGGATACCTCATGCTAGGTAGAAGCTGTGAAAATAGATTGAGTTCATGAAAACTTACTCTGACGCCCATATATGTGCCAGAATGAGAGCGAGGAGCTGCACAAATACCAACAAGTGGAAAGGTCAAACGCCAAAAAAAATCCAAGCCACTAAGGTATAGATATGAAAATCGATATAGATATATATAGATATGAAAGCAACTTCTTAGAAGCCAGTCCGGATAATGATAAGAACTGAGTAATCCATTGTGAGGAGAAAAGCCCACCTGCAGTGTATAGAGGCCTGCCTCCAACTTGGCAAGATATTTTTCATCGTCATCCATCTGCGCTACACCAATTACAATGTCATTCAACTAAAAATGATATTCAAATCCTGGGTAATAAGGAGGAAATCTGACGTAGGGCCGATAAAACATACTCCAACGAAAAGTAAATCTGACTGAACCGAGAGAATGGGAGAGATGAGAGAGACTGAGAAAGAACTAGGTTCAGTACAAGTAAATCTAGTGCCAACAAATAGCTGCTGAACACATCAATCGAGAAGACGCTGTCAATCTACCGAATAGACAGTAACTGACCTGATCGTCGTCATCATCCGGCTCATCAAGCCTTTTTGACTCAGCTTTAACACGATCAGAATATCTGTACCCACATTACAAGCAGTACAAGTAGAATAAGTTCACAACGACTTGTAAAAGCTCATATGACCAACATAAGAGAAACAAGGAAAGCCATATCTTCTTGGCCACCTTACAAGCAAGCACTTGTAACCGTGTCTTAAAAGACATACTGGGAAACCAATGCTTTACAGTCAAACTGTATCCTCTAATTGGCAGAAGCAGAGGATTCACTCTTTGACCCACCTAAGATAAAGCTCCATTAGCCGATCAACTTTCTCGAATTCGTTCTCCATAAATTTGTTCAGCAACCGTTCTCGTCTCGAACCCCGTGTCAAACTGCCTGCGAGATGAACACGCAGCACACTTAATGGACAGCATCCGAAATATATTTATGAAGGCGAAAATATCAGATGTTTGAATAATAACTATCAAAGCAGAAAACTGGCTGATTGTAAAAATAACAGAGGAATCATGACAAATTCCCATGCTACCCTATAAGTTTGCAATCTCAAATAAGAACTACAACGAAGGCACGCGCAACAGAGATATGGTCCACATACTTCCCACAAAAGTACCTGACAAACCTATATAACCACCACAAAGTGCAGTTTACGAACCTAACCTTTCGTAAAGTATAAGCTATTACTATAGAGTAGGAAAAAAAAGAAGGACAAATCTCGATAGTAGTCTCACCAAAAAGAGAAGAGGTTATGGAGATCACACGCTCCTCAATCTCCTCATAGTTCCTGTCCCCTCGGTTCTTCCCCTTCACAGGTATCTGAAAAAAAAAACGTATTAAACATCAGAGATGTCGCAATCCAATGAAGGATCTATACTTTTTCATTTTGTCCTTTTTTTTCTCCTGTTTTATCATCTGACCATAATCAAAACCGTACAACGCACCAAACAAGCTTTCCTACCCAGAACAATCAGCTAATACCTAATCGATATGTGCAATAAAACATTTAAATGATTTGAATGTTCCGAATTAGCATTTACATTTTTTTTAAATTACGGATATTTAGTCGAACAATTACTACATGCGGACTCATATAAAATGATTTTAAATAAAGCGCAAGAGCAAGTTAACTGCTCTGAAAGCATAAAAATCAAATCTAAAAAATCAAATTAAGTAATATAAAAAGGCTTGTCCTAATCTCAAAGAGATCGAGTACCTTTCCCATAAAAGCGGCGAAAAGTGTTTTCAGTCCCAACACATCGACGAACCGTTCGCAGGCGGCTGAGCACCTTGTCATGGCGAAGTCTAGAGCCTTCATGGCAGATCCATAAGCAAGCCTTTTTTGCTTCATGATGATAATCATTAGTTCGACGCCTTCAGCTTTCACAAACCGGTCCTTGTTCTCCATTGGCATTACAACACTACAGAGACTATTAAACAGATTTTCAAGCATCTCTTCTTCTTCAGAAGTCTTCGGGTCTCTAGACTTGTAGAACGCAACAGCTTGTAGTAAGGTATCCACACCATTCAGCTGTCCTACGCGCTTCTGATTCGCCTCACTGTTTTGCAGCAAAATGGCCAGAATTTCGCTTGCATAAAACTTATTACTGTCGAATTCCCGCAGTTTGATTCTGTTCAAAATCCACCTCAAAAACTTTGTCCTCTCACACACAAGCTCCGCAACCGCAGGTTTTACTTCTGTCATGTTCTCAATGATCGACAGCGTATTGAAAACGCATGCCGCCTCGTCGCTGTCCACCTCGTCCATCCGCCCCAGGTTTTGTACTAGAAGCTCTAATGCATTGTTCTCAATCAACGCATCCACCAAAACTAAGGCCGGCTCATCGCTCTCCCCAATCACATCCTCATCTGTCAAATCGCTAAGCAAAGTCACGACGGACATGGCAATATCCGTATTGTCATGGCCAAGCAAACCTAAAATCGACGGGACCGACCCGAGCCGCACAAGCTCCGGATACAGGTCAGGATTAGCTGCCAGGGCATGCAGCTTCTTCACTTCTTCGTCCAAGTCCATTTCTGACTCCATGAACTTCTCAGGCTGATCGAAAAACTTCATGCGCGCCTCCAGATTGTCTCGCAGTTTGCGTTCAAACCCGAGCACGAGCTTCTTCAAGCGCCGCACGTCGATCACCTCCACAATATCGGCCGAGGCTTCCATCGCCTGCAGGTCGACCTTGCTGGGGGCGACGTTGTCGGGATGCGGTCCTCCCGTGCCACTGCCGTTGGCAAGCACGGCGCCATTGGCAACTCCATCTGTGTCACGCTTGCGCTTGCCCTGCGAGGCCATCGCTCTAGCTCCCCTCACTCGGGCACGTCTACGCTTGAATTGAATCGAAGAGAGTCTGGCAGTAGATTTAAACCACAGACTGGTGAACAGAACCACATGGCAAATGCAAGCAGAGTCAGTGACAGCAACGAACTGAGAAGCTCCGCGAGAACTCGATCATACAAGAGGCGCCATTGCCAACAACAACAGTGCTCGGAGAAAAGGGGAGAATTAGGGTTTCGGGTCGAGAAGCACGATCGCACCTCCACAAGAAACGCTTACTTCTCTTGTCACCAACACTTTACTTTAATTACTGTGGCCATGGTTGGCTCTTACCTTCAGTTAAGTCATTGCGTGTATTCTCATACACATTATGATTCAATTTTGAGCTTCGAAATAATGGTTTTGCGCGCCTCCAGATTGTCTCGCAGTTTGCGTTCAAAGATTTTAGTAGCATTAAATGTGTAGTTTAATAATTTATTGTATATTTATATTTATACATCACAATTTTCCATTTTATGTATATATTTATTTATTTATTGTAATAATTAATTGTGTAGATTTTTTAGCCTAACATTAAAATATTGTACTAAGACTAAAAAATATTTTTATTTAACAAGAAGCATGATTATTAAAATTTGATATGTTTATTATTTTTAATAGTCTTATTTCAGATTTGTATAGTATAAATAATAGTGTTTTTTTCTAAATGAGTTGTAAAGGTGTTTCAAGTGTGGGTAAGTATCTTACAAAGTGAAAGAAGATTATAGACATAAATATAGGTAATTTTATTTAATCTAAATAATATAAAATATACATTACACTTGCAGATAACAAAGATTATACAGAAAATTATATTTGTTTGAAACATGATTTGTCATCTCTAGTGACAAGTAAGTTTTTTTTAATAAAACAATATCCTTATCAGATTTTTTTAATCACAAAAATATCTCTTAAATTTTTTCAAGTTATTGATTCTTCAAGAATCAACACGATTTTTTAAATTTAAATCACAATTATAAATATTTTTTATGCACTTTTTATTACGTATTTTTTTATTTTTTTGTTTTTATTTTTTTATCTTAACATGATTGTTTTTTAGTTTATATATACATAATATATAATATAATATCATTGTTCATGAAAGTATTGCTTTAAAGGTTGTTACAACAATTATAGTATAAGTATTGTGACAAGAATAAATTCACATTTAATAAAGAATTGTAATTTAGATAAATCTTCAGTTATGACAATTCTAAAAAATATTTAGATAATCGCTTTTATTCTTTTTTACTAGATCAATTTTAAATTTTTTGTTAACTGAGTGATTTAATTATTATACACAAGACTAAAAAATTGTTAGGTGTGCTTGTATATAAACATCCTTAAAAATGAATAAACTATTATTCTTCTAAACAAGTTCCATTATGTATGTATCTATTATTAACATGTTTAGAAATTATATATAAAATAATAATTTGTGTACATATCTATAAATAAATTCTATAGATAAATATTTTACCTAACTGTGGTTCCATATCTATTTTTTCTAATACTATTTAAAAAGTGGCATCAAATTAATTAAAATTCAAATCAACAATTTTTAATGTTTAAAAAAAATTAGTTAAATTAACTAATAGAAACAAGGACACATAAAAAAAAAATAGATATGATAAGATCTCAATTGTTAAGGTAAAAAATTAACTGTATACCATGATTTTGTTATACACTTTGGTACTATTGAAACACAAAACAACCACATATAATAAGTAAATTAAATATAAAGTACATAAATAAGGTAGGAGATATTTTTCCATTTAACTTTCTTTAATATAAAAATAATAATACAAAATAAAATTATAACAAAGTAAATCAATAAAATAATTATATATATATATATATATATTATGAAAATAGATTTTGTTCAAATTCACAATTGCATATGTTTAAAGCCACAATTTTAGCCTTATATTATTTAAAATATAATTATATAATTACAGTATTGCAACAAGGAAATATATCAGTAAAATACAATGAATTATTGCATTACCTTTAGCAAAATCTATAATTGTAGCTTCCGAATTTTTTTTGTGATATTATTATCATTTTTTTTAACATAGTAATTTCGTATATTTATTTATGGAAATTGACAGGTTGACGTAGGTTTTTACTACAATGACCAGGTTTGCTCATCTAACCTAGTTCAGATGTAGGGGTCCTCAATAAACATTTGTGTTTATTTATGTACTATGCAGCCAAATTTAAAACTGCATTATAAGTGTGTTATTTTTGTTCACAATTCATATATATTCATTCACAATATTTGTTCATAATTCATTCCATACTTAATAACATGTGAACTGTGAATGAACTTATCAATTTCATCAGCTTTTCAATTTACAATGAATAAATGTCCCATTAATTTTTTTAATTTTAATTTTAATTTTTTAAAATTTTGTACTTTATTACATGTGAACTATGAATAAACTCATCAATTCATCAACTTTTCAGTTTATAATGAACAAATGCCTTATTATTTTATTTATTTATTTATTTCATTTCATACTTCATTACATGTGAATAAAGTTACATGTTCATCAATGTTTTTGTTCACAACGAAAAAATGCCTCATAAATTAATTAATTATATTTCATTGTTTGTTATATGTGAAATCAGCTAAATTTGTTCATTGGAAACTAAACAAAATGCCCCATTAATTTGAATATTTTGTATTCTATCATCATGCGGCAATGGTTACAACTATGCAACGATGATTTTAAAATAGGATTATTTCTTGTATTCAAATAGATCCAACATCAACAAATTGATATGGTTACAACTAAGCAACCATGATTAAGAGCCCTATTCTATCCAAAGAGTAGAACAATTGCAACTATCATGGCTAGTTCCATAGTAGTGCATGTGTTGCTATAAATTTGTTCTTGTCCTCTCAAACAATGAAGGATTTCTACAAGTATTTGCATGTCTATCATAAATTGCAATAGGTATTGAATTGATGACAAGATTGGTTACACTTTTTGAAATGATTATAATTCCATCTATGAGCCTGTGCTATTAATTAGGTCATAACATATCATATACTTTGAGGGCATGCTCAAATGTAGCACTTAGTGTTGTAGACATTCCAATCATAGCTACCAATGTGTGAGTCCCATCAATGCATCTTAATTGATGAATTGCTTAAAAATATAGCTTTAAGATATTTTATTATATAAATATTAAGATTAGAGATTCTTTTTGACTATTTAAGTACTTATTAGAATTTAGAAGTATTTATAAGTTACAAAAGTCATTGTACATAAATACATAGTATAAGGTTTTTATGGATTTATTTAGAATTATTTAGAAAGTTTTAGAGAAGATTTTAAGTCTTTGGTAAAATTCAATTTTACCACCTTGGGAGCCATTATGAAAAAATAGAAGAAAATTTGAAAGCCACACAAGGTTTTAAGGAAATTTGGGTGTTTTCATACACTATGGTGAAATCAAAATGCAAAATTGTGAGTTTTACTAGTAGAAAATAGGAGGACCAACAACTAATAGTCTCCTTGTAGAAAGAGAGATGCACAAGTCCTGTGTGGATTGTAGTACCTTGAATAGAGTTAGGAGGATAAGATTAAGGCCTTCTAGCCTCTCTTAACACCCCATAAATACTATATGTGAGCCTTGGTGAGGCTCAAATCCTTAATCTATAAGCAAGTTATCCTTAAACTAAAATATTTTTATTTAATTTTTTAATCATTCACTTCCTATCTTTAAACTTTCATAACTTACTCATGATAGTTTGGATTTATGTATTTTTTATGTCATTAAAAAGATAATAAAATTAAATATCAAAAAATATATATTTTTTAATATTTATTTTTACTTTTTAATAGATGAAACTCAGAGAACAAACTATCAACTACTTTTGTTATAAGTAATTGCTTAGTTGCACTTATTTCTCTTATTTTGTGTTGTTCTTTCTTTTATTCATGTTTATTGCATCTTTCACTTTACACCACCAATTACAAGCAATTCTTGATTGAAGCTATCTTGTAATTTGGATTGAAGGAAAAACTTACCTTCACATAATGGTTCAAGCCACCAATGGTAATCAAAATCATCAACTTCCAAAGCTCTACTAACTTACATTAATCTTTGAAATGTATATAGACAAGGCCTACCTATTGACAATGTAATCGTAAATAACAAGCTATAGTTAGTATTGATATACTTTATACTTGCTTAGATTCTTTTGTAACTCTTTTCAAGGCATAATATGAAATTTTGTAAATAACTTTGCACCACATAGAATTACAATGGATAGTTAGGTGGCATGTAGCAACTGAAACTAGCTTCTGTCAAATTTTAGCCAATTGAGCATCAACTATCAAACTAATCTTCTAGTATATCATTGCAATTACATGTGGACACCATGTTCTTGCCTTTTATTGCACCATGCAGATCTTCAACTTATAATGTTATGTAATGGCTATGATGGCAAATGTAATTAGTCCAAAGTTTCACAAACTTTAAACAATATAGGGAGAGTTAAACAACATCAATTTATTTTATAATAATATTGTCAAAGTTGCATTTTAGGTCATTCATAGTTTCTTCATATTTCTTGATATTGCTTGCATATACCATCACTTCCCATGTAATTATAAATGCCTCAAAATTAGCAACATTTCACATAATGGACTTAACATTTGACAATACATTTTTTTTAATATACCATAAATAGATCAAGTATTATGTTTTAACATCTAAGAATATAATATTAATTATATGCATTAATTAGAGCTTACAATTGGTCACAAAAATAAATAAAAGCATTGGTGCAAACACATATCACATCTCATTTAGAGCTCAAATATAGTCATCTTCTTTTTTCACTCTTTGAAGCAAAAGTATAGCAATAAAGAGTGATTTGTGTCTATGTTGATAAGAATATATGATAATGGTATTCAAGAGCAATTTTTCTTATATATTGAGTCTAATAAGACGATATTAAGTGCACAATTATATCAATTTGTAAGTTCAATCATCTTAAGAGGTGCAAAGAATTAGTGAGAAAGCCTATCATTATTGTCTAATTTTTTTGTATGGAAGATGGTATTGCTTTCTAACTTGTTTGAAAGGGCTTTTAAAGAATACAATTGTGAAGTTCTTCTTATCTTAGGGCATCTCAAAAGGTTGCATATGTCCCTTTAAATGCATATGTTGTTGGAATTGACTTACATCACTCCAA